GGGGACCCACAGCTCCCTGCGCCGGGTGGAGGCACCGCAGTGCCAGCCCCCTGAGCCTGCCCCTCGCCGACACCCCAGAGCACACCAGGAGACCACGTCAGCCCAAGTCTTTTATCCGAGTCTCTTCCCGGCTCCTCCCGTGAGCCCGGCTGCTGCCCAGCCACAGCAGCCCCCTCCTCGGGCCACCGAACGCCCCCACGCCACCTCCACGCTGGTGGTGTTTAAATAACCCTGAGTTCAACCGCTCCACTCCCCGCTCCGCCGCACCCGACACAGCTGCTCCTCAGCCGAATCCCCCTTCCACGGGGCAGCGGCACAAACTGGCTTGGCCCTGGCTGCCGAACCTCCTCCGCTGCCTCTTGGGCCAGTCTCTTCACCCCCCAGCACGTTTCCCTGCCCGCGCAGCACATCAGCCTGCCTCCGTCCTCCTCCTCCTGGAGACCCAGGTGGTGCAGAGCCCCACGGCGTTGCGGAGAGCCCCGCGGCGTTGCGGAGAGCCCCGCGGCAGTGCAATGAGCCCCGCGGCGGTGTAACACCAGCTGCCTGGTGTGTCCCGTCGTTGCAGGCTGCTGCACCTCTGCGGAGCAGCCTGGAGAAACGCTGCCCCTTCCCTTCTCCAGCCCTCACGCTACGGATTATCCTGGGTCAAAGCTTTGCAGGGTCTGGTCTCCTGGTCATGGTTCGGCAAGCTGATGGCAGGAGAACTGGCAACGGCGTGGACCTTCTGGTGGTGGTTCAGAGACTGCCGGTGCCGGAAACTCTTGCTGCAACCGTTGCACTGGAAGGGCCGCTGCTGGGTGTGCCGGCGCTGGTGCTCCTCCAGCGACGCTTTCTGGGGGAAGCTCTCCGCGCACTCGATGCAGCGGTAGACCGGCGGCGCTGGCCCGCGCGGGCCGGCCTGCCCACCCGCCCCGCAGCTGCACCCCGTGGATGCGCTGATGCTTCTGGAGGTGGTGCTTCTGGATGAAGCCCTTGCCGCAGGCGGGGCAGCGGTAGGGACGCTCCCCGGTGTGGATGCGGTAGTGCTTGTTGAGGTTGGACTTCTCGTTGAAGCTCTTCCCGCAGGCAGGACACTGGAAGGGACGCTCGCCCGTGTGCAGGCGCTGGTGCCGCAGCAGCGCGGCATGGTGGGCCAGGCTCTTCCCGCAGGCCGTGCAGATGAAGGAGCCGTTGCTCTTCCTCGCCTGGCTCTGCTGCCGCGCCAGGAGGTTGCGCTTCAGCCGGACGCTCTTCCAGCCCAGCGGGAGCGCGCGGGGCTCTTCCCCCGCGGTGCAGGGACGATGCTCCTCTGAGCTGGGCTGCGACGAGGCCGTCTCTGCGGTGGTGTCTTCTCCCAGAGGCATTCCCTGGGGCAGGGCGAACGGCTGGTCAGTCCCCATGCCGAGCACATGCTCTGTTGGGAAGGGCAAGCCCGGGGCAGGGTGAGCTTCCACCGGCACCACCACGGGCTTAAATTCGGGCTGGGCGGTCCCGTGTTTGCAGAACTCCCCTAGGCCCTCTCCTGCTGCCTTCTGCTCGTCCAAGCCAACGTGGCTCTCCCAGGGCACCGGCTGCTCCTGGCTCAGGGGAACCTCCTCTTCCAGTCTCACTGAGGGTGCCTGCGGCAGAGCCAGGATTTCAGATGCTTCCTCCTGGGGCTGCTGCTCTTCTGTCTTGATCACGATCTTCTCACCTGCTGAGAGACAGCAATTCATTCCTGGCAAGGAAAGCCCTCCCGTGGCCGCAGCCCCGGTGCAGGAGCGGGAGCCGAGCTTCCCCTGCAGCACGTTGGTGAGATGAACCAGAAATTGCGCTGTTATGAAGGGAGCAGGAAGGTTTTACCGAGAGCAAAGCAGGAGAAGGACAGATGAGGTGGAGGGGCGTTGGCACCTGTTGGGGGTTATCTGGTTATCTCGTTGGACCTCGGGGACATTTGATGGGCTGACAATGCAATAGTCGTAAAGAAGCCCAAAACAGAGGAAACGTGAAGGCAAAGTTGAGGCTGCAGAGTCCTCTGTCCTGGAAGGAACTTTGTCGGGAATGGCAGAGTATAGGTGGGTGAATCTGGGGTAAAGGATGAAAGCAAAACCTTCCAGGAGCAGGAGGGAGCGTCTGTCTGCAGGCGTACAGGCGCAGAGCCACCCTCATGCTAAGCCTTGCCCCAGGTCTCCCTATTTACTGCTCTTTTTGGCAAGGGGGCTCTTCTGGGCTTAAAGATTGGGTCTTAAAAGTTTTAAGGGGGGCCCCAATCACATGGCTTAAGTTCCCGACAGCTTCTGACCCCGTGCAAGACTGGAACCGCTCCCTGCAGGGACGTCATCGGCTCCGCTGGCCCCGTCTCTAGCGGGAGCGGCAGGGGCACTGCTGCGGGCAGGCTCCAGCCCCCCTCGCTTTGTGGGCAGGCAGCGGCGGCGTGCGGGCAGCAGCAGAGCAGCGCACCCGGCATAGACCCTGCCCAGCCCAGACGTGCCGTTAGTGCTCGTCCTCAGCCTTCGCTGCCGAGCGACCGCTGCGACTCACCGCCGCCGAGGTGCCCCGACACCGCTCTCTTCTCCGGCAGCCCATGGGTCCTCGTACCCGAATCCTCCCCGTCCTCGGCCGGCGGCAGCAGAGCAAGTTTGGAGCTGGCGTCCCCGGGCCCTGGGAAGGAGGAAGCAGCGGTACGAACTGCTGATGCTGGGGACCAGCACCAGCTCCCCTTGATAAAGGGCTGCTCTCGCACAGCGGGAGCTGTGGGGCACCCGCAGGGGTCCCGGGCTCCCAGAGCTGCGGCTCAGGTTTCCCAGGACCATCAGAGCAAGCAGGCTGGTGTCAGCCAAACCAGGCAAATGATTTTAGTTACCCCAGGAAGAAGTGACTGTCGGGCGCTCATCATCCTTTAAAATTTCAACCAAAAACAATTAGTGCTAAAATTTATGGCTGTCTGTAGCGAATCCCTACAGGGTGGTATATGTACAGCTCGTGTCCTGGCAAAAAATGGTGCAGAAACACAGGTTTCTGCAGGACACAGCATGGGCACGTCACCTGAAATCCCCACCACGTACTGTCCTGACCGCGCGGGGAGGGCTCTCCTCTGCTCCCGCAGACGCTGTGCTGAGTCCCGGGACTCCAGCGGACGCCCACTCCTCCTGCAGTGCTCCTGCTCGCGGGGGCAAAGCCTCACAGGGCAAGTCAGGGCTGACAGAGGGCCAAATCCTGGCAGTGTCTGAGTGCCCCCACTGACAGCACTTCTGTGTTGGCAGGACGAGGTGTTCTTCGGATGCACAGGGTGAGCATGAAGCACAGTTGTCACCCATAACCAAGGGGCACCAAACCTTAAACGTGTAAAGGCATCACCTTTCACCACCTGTTCTCCCCCAGACGCCCAGACAACACAGCAGCCTACAAGCAGTCGTAAGCTGGATTCAGCCCAGGGGATGAGAATGTGTCTGACACGGGAGCAGAGACCGATCCTCACCAAGAGAGACCACAGCCTCGTAATTCCCCTTCATGGCGATCCTGTAGAGCTCCTTCTGCCGGCTGTCTGAGCTCCCCCACTCCTGCTCCGGCAAACTGGCCGCATCGTCCTCGCACGCCGCTGGCACCTGAAACCGCAGCAGGAACTGCCTTGGCGCTTCCCCACCTCGTCCATCCCCCCAAGCCCCACCGCTTCCCCAGGAAAGCAGACTGCGTTGTGGTGCAGTGCGGGTCCACAGCTCCTACAGGAAGGAGCCGTGTCATGGCCTGAACCCAGGGAACAATTTCAAAATGGCAGGGCGAGGTTCACTTGTTTGCCCCGCCACACGCACAGCCGGGACAGGTTCACAAGCACCTCTCGTTCCCTTGATCCACACCGGCAGCCTGAAGCAGCCAGGTGAGCAGTAACCCCCTCACGCGGGAGCAGGACAGGTGGGAAGGCACTGTCCCACCGGTGAGGCCACCAGTACGACCCAACAAAGCTGAAAATGCTTGGGGGGGGTTGTGTTCTGCTCCTCCTTTTTGCTGGGGACAGGGAAGAGCGGGAAGTCTCTGACTGCTGCCTTGGTGTGCCGGCTCTCGAGGTAGAGCACCGGAGGGGCCGCGTCCGTGCTCCTCTGCGCAGCTCCCCACGAGAGCCGATGCCGCAGCTCACCAGCCACACGGTCGCCTGGGGCACATCTCCATTACCTTGGGCACGTCCCCGTTAGCTGGGGCTCATCCCTGTTACCTGGGGCTTGTCCCTGTTACCCTGGGCACATCCCCATTAGTTGAGGCACGTCCCCGTTAGCTGGGGTTCGTCTGCATTACCTTGGGGACATCCCTCTTGGCTGGGGCTCATCTCCGTTCGTCACCGTGGGCACGTCCCCACTACCTCGGGCACATCCCCCGTTACCTTGGGCACATTCCCATTACCTGGGGCTTGTCCCTGTTCGTTACCTTGGGCATGTCCCCGTTACCTGGGGCTCATCCCCGTTACCTTGGGCATGTCCCCATTAACCAGGGCTCGTGCCCATTACCTCGCGCTTGTCCCCATTACCTCGGGCTCGTCCCCGTTACCTTGGGCACATCTCTGTTAGATGGGGCTCGTCCCCGTTACCTCGGGCTCATCCTCATTACTTGGGCACATTCCCGTTAGCCGGGGCTCGTCCCCGTTCCCTCGGGCACATCTCTGTTAGCTGGGGCTCGTCCCCATTACCTCGGGCTCATCCTCATTACCTTGGGCACATTCCCGTTAGCCGGGGCTTGTCCCCGTTCATCACCTTGGGCTCGTCCCCGTTCCCTCGGGCACATCTCTGTTAGCTGGGGCTCGTCCCCGTTACCTCGGGCTCATCCTCGTTACCTTGGGCACATTCCCGTTAGCAGGGGCTTGTCCCCGTTTGTCACCGTGGGCACGTCCCCATTAGCTGGGGCTCGTCCCCGTTACCCGGGGCTCGTCCCCGTTACCTTGGGCACATTCCCTTGGGTACATTCCCATTAGCAGGGGCTTGTCCCCGTTTGTCACCGTGGGCACGTCCCCATTAGCTGGGGCTCGTCCCCGTTACCCGGGGCTCGTCCCCATTACCTTGGGCTCGTCCCCGCCGGGGCCCGGGCCGGGCCTGGGGGCCCAGCAGCTGCGGTGCTGGAGCTGGCGCTCGACGTGCTCCAGCCGCCGCGTGTTCTCCTGCACCAGGGCGGCCAGGGCGGCCCACTTGCGCTCCAGCCGGCTGCCGAAGTCCAGCACCGCCTTCTCCAGCCCCGTCACCTTCTTCTCGGCCGTCTCCGCTCTCCCCTCCAGGCTCAGCAGCCTCAGGGCCTGCGACTCCACCTTCCTCTCCACCGCCTGCACCGCCG